TTAATATAGAAATTTAGAAAGTAAATATTGTATAATAGTTAAATTTTTAAAAACACATATACAATCTATTGAAACATTATTAACTAATACTTACTACTTTACCCTTAGTGGCTGGCTCTTACATATAAATATTACTCATGTTTGTAAGTCTCCTATAATAAAAAAAAATCCATTGTCATTAATATTTCATATTAAATCTTTAGTCATTTATAAATCAGTGAACCGAATGGTTCTTTTCTCAAATAATCATTAGCAGATAAGACATACCTTTATCTCCTTTTAACATTGGTTTCACAGGCCCAATCAATTCCATGTGCCACAGCCCCATTATTACTGCTGCTTTTATAGTTTCCAAGTCCCTATAGATATTTATACATATTTGTGCCTTAATGCAAAATTTATATTCTATATTCAATTTATATTTAACTTTTATAACTATTACCAATTGTTCATTCTCCATCTCTTCAATGGTCCTCATATTTGCATATGGAAATCATACATCAAACCATGTTGATACATATGCTGCCTCCTTTCTATTTCCTGATTCCAGATAATAAGCATTTTCTCTTCTCACTGCTTTCATTCAAACTTTTCTCTTTTCTTTATATACCGCAGCTCAAGCATTCTGAAATTTAACACATTAGTGTTGATCAGTGACTTTCACCACTAATGTTAATATTCATTCATTACAACAATACAACATACCTTTCAGTATCACTATATTCTCTATATCGTGTTGTTATAACAGGCCATCATTTAAATTAATTTTGATCCCTTTTGTCTTCCAACACAATCTCTGTGTTTTAAATCTTCATTTCGCTGTCAAATATTTCTTTCTTGTATGTCATACGGTTAGCCAACCTAAAATCCAATAGACATACTCTACATAATTCTATTACTGCTTCAATTTCTTCTTGCTATAAAAAATAGTTCTGGACATCTAATAACTCTGCGCTGGTGATATTCCACGAGTCCAATATTTTTCTCCTGTTGTAGGTGCCAATTTACTTCAATAGAATATTGCCTTTTTATAACTAGGCTCTGCAATCACTAATAAAAGATAGGGAAAAAATGGCTTATATGTTACACTATTTAATTACAACTTAAGATTATGTTAATACAAAAACTTACATTCTTTTGCTTGATGCAGGCACACCTCCATGGACACAACAATGCTTCTTGCGTTTTCTTGCAATTCTTCTCCCATTTTCTATGCACTCTCCTGTTCTCTTGGAGAAAAATTTACAAATTAGTTAATTTCTGTCATTAATATAGGAGCTTTTACCATTGCGTTGACATACGTACTATTGGAGATTTCTCGTCTGCCACGTAAAGAAGCGAATGCTGACCGTTCAATTAAAACCATTTCTCGGGCTGAACTTATTAAAGAATGTAGAAAACTTTATGGAGTTCTTAAGCAAATAAAAACAATGGAAGAGAACGTGTATTAGTCGTTTTATTGTTTCCTTTGGTCCGCCATCACGTTATGTGGTTTAGGAGCTCTCCTGGCGCCATCTGTGCTCATCTTACCGAACCTGAGGTTCGAGTCTAAACTCATAAATGGCACTGACTTCAATTTACTAGATTACTAACTCTGGTTATGTGCACCGGATACTTCCTAAGAAATCAATTCGGTAGTGGAAAATTAACAATGTATGCAATTTCTGCGATTTATTTATGAACTTTTATAATCGCATCGTAAAGGCAGATCCTTGGTGAACTTTCTCATATAACTTTCGTTAATAATTTCTTCTTAATTGATTGACTATTAATAATTATTCCAAAGCGTGTTTGAAATCTTCGAATTTGTGTGGAATATCTCAATGGTTTCTCATTAATAACTATCTTTTATGTCATTAATTTTCGACTTTTATGCATTCATTATAAAAACAATATTCTTGCGAATCTTCTCATATAACTTTCGATCATATTTTTCTTCTAGTTTTAAATATAATTAAATAATTTTACCGACCATCATGTTCGGCGTTGTTTTCAAATTACCCACGCCGTGAAATAATTATTAATAACATTTAAATTAGCAATAAATTATGTACAAAAGTAGAATAAGAATGTTGCTCAGAGTTTCAGCTTTGCGACAAGGCTATAAAAGTTCATAAATTAATCACCAGAATTGAGTAATTAGTTAATTTTCTCCACCGGAGCCTTTCTGTCTTTTTCTACCCATCTTCCGTCCTTGTCTAGCACATGACGAGGTATAGACGACCTCCTTGCGCATTCTATATTCCTATCACTTTTCTCATCATTTGGTACAAAATCATAGATGGCGCTGATCGAAGTTGCAGAATTGAAAACCACGTGACGCATTGGGCGGAAGAAACAAAACAATAAAACGACATAAATAAGTATAACACATTTTATTCCCTTCTCTTTACTCTATTAATAGCCCGACGAGCGTGAAATCATAGAAGTAGGCGAATGACTTTATTATTGGTAAAAAGAAAATGAAACTACGATGATTATATGCTTAGATACTTTTTATTCAGTTTGAAAGCTTCACATATACATATTAATTGTTAACATCATAATAAACACTGGATCTTTGAGATCTTTTACATTATTATGCAAGTTTCGTTTAACATTCTTACGCAAGTCAAGGATGAAAGATTCGCTTTCAGAAAAATAAACTCCGCAAGAATTACATAATGGATATTACAGATTAAAGGAAAAATTAAAATTTATTGCTCGGTATTATGGCAAGTAGTTTCAGGTAGAAGAAATTGTATTATCACAGAATTTTCTTACGCGAATTAAAACTACGAAATATAAATGTGAGAGGAAGATCGAAAATTAAAATAGGGTAATTTCGTAATATTTATTGTACAGGATAAACAATTTAATGGATGTAGATTAATCGATTGTGCGAAATATTTAAATATAAAATACGCAATCTTAATTATCGCAGAACATCGTTTCACGGCGAATTAAGACTTTACAACCTAAATATACAGGGAAAATTGGAAAATGGCGTTCAAAATTAATTCCATGGCGACCATTTAATTCCAATCGATCAATTGGTTATACCGTATATATATATGAATACAAAATAAATTCAGTGAATCAAAGGAGGACCTCATTTCCATTTTATTTCAAATATAGAACGTGAAATTTAAATCAGAAAAATTGGATAATAACGAATGGCAATTGTACTCTTCATTTTTTTCTTCTTCTTCTTCAACGACCAGTGTTTTATCGAATTTCCTCTTTATAATGCTCCATGTGTAAAATGCTAAGAGACACCACAGAGGTATTTAAAATTTCCTAATTAAGTTTCAACGAGTTCCGCAATAGGGTTAATTAAGAAGCAACGTATAGCCTTGTGGCATTTATTAGAATGAAAGAAGGCACGATCTGAAAGGAGATATTAATAGCAAACTCGTAAAAGGGCGAGCCAGGGTTGAATTTTTATTGGGAAAACGTATGAAACGATTTGCGAGACTCGTGGTCCCTCGCTGAAATGCTGGTACATCTCAAACGGAGCAGCCAGGCACGCGACTTATTAAAAAATTTCCAGCATCTCGCGTGGTATTCGTTTCTCGAATAACTTTCCCGAATATCCATGTCCGTGGAATTTTTAAGGACATTTACTTCTTGGGAACAAGCAGACTCGTTTTTAGTCGAAGAATTAAGGGAAAAGAAGAAATCTTTAACGCTAGGTTTACGGACGCTATCTGTATACTTATTTCTAAACACACCTGTCAAATTGACAGGTAAAGGAAACCACGATTAGTTTAATTTAAAAACAATTATATATTATATTAACAATCTTAATATAAGTTAACTAAATTTGTTTCCATCGTATAATTGGAGCAACCCCTCTGTGAAATTGGCAGGTTCCGTAAATCTAGTGTCAAACTTATAAATGTAAAGGGTGGAGAGATGGCTTATGTGGTAAGAGGGGTTAATGATATTCAACAAGAACCCCTATTCTTAGTTATATTTTAAATTTCTCGATGGTTTAAAATAAACGGAGGTTTTCTGTGACACATGCAGCAATGTCGACCATGGGAAAGTGTTGCCCTTCGAACCCATCAGCAAGGTTCCCATACTTCCCACATGACACCACCTCATTTCGTTATTCAGCCTAACTTTCAAGAAAGAAATTTAAAATATAACCAAGAATGTAGGAAATTTAACCCTTTGCACTCGACGATTTTTTGGTTCAAGAAGAGTGGGAGTTCAATGATTTTCTGCCATAAAGCTGACGATATTTCTTTCAGCAGTAAATAAGAAATCGTATAATAATTAATATATGGAATTATTTGATCTCGATATTTCGCACATCATTACATTATCTTAAATTTGACATTAAATTAATATCGATCTTCGAAATTTTATCAAGTGGCGACTGATTGCGAGAGGCACCTCTCGAGTGCAAAGGGTTAAGCTTGGATGAGTTGCAATAATATAAAATTTTGAATAATTCATTTTAATATTAATTTGAAAGAGGATTCAACCCTTTGCACTCGAGAGGTGACTCTCACAATCAGTCAACATTTAATCAGATTCTAAAGATCGACGTAAATTAATATATCAAATTTAAAATTACCTAACGATGTGTGAAATGTCGAAGAAAAATAATTCAACGTCTTAATTTGCATATGATTTCTCATTTACCATTTTAAAAATATCGTCGACAGAAAGTCTACAAATTACTATTCTTCTGTAACTAAAAAGTCGTTGAGTGCAAAGGGTTAATAGTAATTCCCAAAAAAATTATTTTTATTAAATATGATAAAATAGATGTGCAAATTTCTCGTCGTTCTTGATGAATATTATTAACCCCTCTTACCATACTTGATCCACAAAATCAGACTTACCTTTCGTTTACGTATACCTTCCTCTTCTATTTACTCGCATGGTATTCGCTGAATTAGTTGTTCGATTCATGCTCGTTCATTTCAACGGAGTTTCTTCTAAAGCGACAGATATCCAGCCATTTCGAGAAAATTTATCGAACCGAGTAACGATAGAGAAGAAGCATGATTACCACGAAACCGACCACCTGCAAAGAGGCGATCCGACAGTGGGAGGAAGAGAATGGCCAAGAAGCTTCCTCCGCGAAGGAAGTGATTCTGAGCTTCCAATGGCCACCCATAGAAAAGATGGACAACGCTTTGTCGACCTTGGTCAATTGCGAGAAGCTGTCGTTGTCGACGAACATGATCGAGAAAATTGCCGGTAGGTATCCTCTTTTTCATTTATTTTTACCATTTTGCGAATGAATGAACGTTCGATGATAGCTGCTTCCCTTTCAATTATTATTACTGCTAGAGGTGGATAATATATTTATAAATTATTTACGAATTCAATAAATATTTATTTTACAGAATTATTGGTCAGGGTAAAAATTGTTGGTGAAATACATTTAATTATTTATATATTTAATTATGCTCTTTTGTATTATACGATACTCGTTCACGCGTATACTCTCAATGAATTCTGAATTGTAACTGACCTATCTACTACTCTTTCAGTTCGTTCTCTCTTCTTTCGTACAGTACATAAATATACACAATCCATATCAGACTTCATTCGTTACACTCATACTCGTTTTTCATATTGATATTCCTAAATTTGTTCATATTGATATACCATTTATCTCATAACATCACTCAGTTTTATTAAATATATGTAAATTAAAATCTACGTCAATAATTACTACAGGTACACTGTGTTATTGGGACTTTAATGAAGGTAGCTGCAAAATTTGGGATCTATTTTATTTTATACCTTAATACTTGGAATTAGGTAACTCTGTGACTATGAGAATCTCAAATTTTTCTCAAATTTTTCACAATGTTGCACTCTTGCACTCTTTGCACTCTTAACAAAGATACCTACCAAAGATACCTACAATGCTTGGAGAAATGTATTGGAATATTTTTTCCAGAGAAACGTTATTTGCATCCTGAAATCCCGAATTTCATATTAATATTAATAGGATATTAAATTCTATGTCAACCATTACCACAATTATTACTGTCATTATATATTTTTATTTATGATAATTATTATAAAAATTGAATTAAAATGAATATTTCTTATTTTCAAATCGCGATGCACGGTTTCAAGTGTTTGGAACTGGACGCACCAGTGATCACGATCTATCATAAATCAGGAGGATCCATGCATTCTCGTGAATTTGTCATCGAGATGAACGCGCAAGAATAATGAACGAAGTCGTTCGACTGGGCAAATAATTTCGCGTAAATGGAATTACGTCGCGGGTCACGAGAAATGGATCGTAGCTGCTGGTCGTCCTCCTTAATTGACGTTTAATTACATCGCGATTAATGCGATTCGATCGGACGAAAACTTCATTATGGTCGGATCCTTCCGGACAACATCCTCCACTCTATAGAACTCAATCTTGTCGGTCATCTTATATAATTCGGTGTCCTCGAATTATAAAACCACGAGTAGTGGTGTATATTTTATTTTCTGCTTAAAATTTGTATCCTTCTCGAGTACTATTTCAATTTTCTTTTATTTCCAAGCTCCCTAACTCCTATTTTCTCCTTTCTTTTATTCTCCAAACGAGACTAATTGCTAAATAATTTTATACGAATTTATATATAACTATTAGATATGATCGGTATTTTTTAGCTTCACTATTCCTTCAAAATTTTCAAAAGGATAAGCAGATATAGAGAGGTATTCAAGTTTTTCTTAAATATAAGTGAATTTCATTCGAATTTTTGTATCAACGCGTGATTAGCTATTTCTCGACTAAGTTTCGAGGAATTTGGAATCGGATAGGTATCAGATATATCTGAGAAAACGTTGAAATTGTCTCTTCTGCCGCAGGAGTCGGAACGCTGAAGAACCTAAAGATCCTCTCGTTAGGCCGTAACTTGATTAAAGGATTCTCCGGCTTAGAGGCGTTGGGCGACACTCTGGAGGAACTTTGGATCTCGTACAATCTCATCGAGAAAACGAAGGGAATCAACGCGATGAGGAATCTTCGTGTGCTCTACATGTCGAACAATTTGGTTAGAGAGTGGAACGAGTTTAGCAAACTTCAGGAGCTCGCCAACCTCAGAGATTTGGTTTTCGTCGGAAATCCGCTCTACGAGAGCTCAGAGGTAGTTTTCTTAGATCCTGTCGAATTTGCAAAACTGTCTCCTAGCTTTTTCATCCATATCGAATCGAATATTTTTTAATTATCGCTAATAAATAATTTCTCCCGCTTCTTTGTTTTATGAATTATTGAAAATTCGAAGTTGAATTTGAAGATTCCTTTTAATTTTCTAGTCATCAAACGAAGACTCGAAATTTGGATGGAAAAGTAGAGTGAAATGAAGGAGTATTGCAATAAGAAAAGGAAATAAAAGATTTAACAAATTTTTATTCTCAATTTTATTGCAACTGCGTGTAGTAGCTTCATTTATTTTATTATTCCACGATTCATATATTCAATAGCGTATTTATTATTAGTGTTATTTTGCAGGTGGAAAATTGGAGATCGGAAGTGGCTAAACGCCTGCCAGTTTTGGAAAAATTAGACGGTGAACCGATTATTCGAACGGAGGAGTGTTCGAATGTGCAGAAGCTTGATAGTCCTGTGCAGTCTCAGAAATCAGTGGAGTAAACTACGCAATGGTACCTCGGAATATTTATAAATCTCTTTCGATCGATATTATTTTTCCCATTTTGTAAATTGCATTTAACAACTTAGAAAAATATTACATATTTCTATAATATATTAAGTTTTTATAAATAAATATTTTTATAAATTTAATACTACATCTGTCGTGCGTAATCCAATTCTTGAAAATTCGTTGAAAATTATTTCATCTTAAGCAACACTCTGGTTTCAATCATTTCAATTATTCTATCAAAGTGTGATTTCTTCATAAGGGAAAAAAGAAAGTAATGTAAAATGAAGAAGGTGGTACTTCTTATGGTAAAGGAATACGTTGCAAAGAAAAAGGTATGGGGCAGGTTGCAAGCACCAGACCACGGTGTCTTCGTACATTTATATTAATTTATTCGTCTTACGATACAAGACAAATCGTACATACGTTTCTGGTGATTGTAAAAGGTTGAAAAAGCAAATAGAGTTCGATTGGATTCGATGCACGAGATTATACCGAGGATCGGACAGACGACATTTCGAGAGATCATCGTTTCTTCTACTTCCTTCTATTCTTTGTCTTCTTTGTTCCTCTAAATTCGTTTTCACATATACATATTTTTGTTCTCCGCATATTTTCGAAGGCGTGTACGAGATACATAGATGCGCTGTCGATCTTCTCCTCCAGTTCCTCATATTTTTACTTTTATCTATTTATTTATTTATTTATTTTTTATTCTCGCGTGTGCACGCACGTACGTATAGTATGTAGACGCAAACGAGACGCGCGTGAATAATCGTGCAATAGAAAAATTGACGAGTGTGCGTTTTGTCATTCGTATATCCCCTCGAAATTTCCCGTAACGACTGATCTACCTACTTTTGGTCGTCGATTTCGATCGTTATTCATTCAATTCTCTTACAATTCCTCTCGCTAATTTTTTCGCAACCCTCTATCGTTATCTTTTCCAAAAATCGCTAACAGAAATCGCGATTGAAACACGGAAGATCGCGATCGGGACTCGGAAATTCGTGATCGCGACTTGGAAATTCGCGATTGAAGCTCTAAGGTTCGCGATCGGAAGTAAAAATATCGCGAGCAACCCTCTGAGAATCCTTCGATCGTTCTCCTCGCGTTCCTTTCTTCGTCTGATACTCGTCCAATTTCGTCGAATCGATCGATTCGATTTTAGAGACACGAGGCGCCGTGTCGAGGAGATTGGAAAAGAGCTGTAGAAAGATTTCAGATTGTACGAGCAAAATCAAACACTGAGTCCCTTGTTAAAGGACACAGATACGCAAGGGGTAGACACTTTCGCTGGTATTCTTAATTATTCGATTAAATTCATTATACATGCGTGTAACGTGAGTGTATGTGTGGTATTTATTTTTCGCGTACATTCTTACGTACACATGCAACACGGGCACATCATCGTTCGTCTACGAATTTTTATTTGTCCCTCTCGTCTTTTTCATTTTATTTTTCTCTCGCATTTTGTCCCTTTCGTTAATTCGCTCGTTCTTCGGTTGTTCCGTTTCGTTTCGTTTTTCGTAAAACGCAGATCGAAATACGTCGTGCGAGATTTGACGAAAGGACCCGAGGTCGCCTGCTTGCGAGATCGGATAGAAATATCGCTGGAAATATTGGATCGAGAAGTGAGAAACGACGCGGTGGAAAGATATAGAAAGAGACGTTAGCCAATGATGAGTAAGAAAAATATCGTATATCGACTCTCTGTGGGATTGATCTGTAATCGTCGAAGCGATGCGAATCGGCGATGAATATATTTTATGATATTATATAGTGTATACATACATATATGTATATATATATATTATTTGAATTCGATTATTTGATGCATGTGTTATCTGTATTTTATATTTAAGCTGAAAGGAGTCACTTTCTTTCAAATGCGATCGATGGACGTTACCGAGACTGGAAGTGAAACCTCGTGATCTCTGCTCCGCCTTTCGCTGTTTTCAGATATCGAAAAAAGAGTTCTCATTTTGAACATTGCTCCTGTGTGTCACGGCCGTTTAGCATTGCTTCGAGTTTCGACGGTCTCGACGATAGCATTTTGTTTCTTTTTTTATAACATTTATCCTTAGATACATCACGCTGACAGATTTAAACGTTTTATTTTTATTTTTTTTATGTTTTTTTCTTTTTTAATATTTTTCTTCCTCTTTATACGCTCCCTTTGCGATCCGATTTGTTCTTCTTCACACAAAAATAGTTCTGATAATATATATATCTATATATGTTTTCTCTTATATTTTTTCTTTCTCATATTCTCCCAGTGATTTTTAATCCTCGCTGCTTCCGCTCTTTAACAATATTTTCTCTCGCTCTCTGTCTTCTATTTAATTTCCTTAGTTACCAACACCGATTATATTCAACACGATTTACACTGAGAAAGGTCTGACGAATTTCGGGGCTAAGACCTCGAGAAGAGAGTCGACGAGCTATCCGCGGGGATGGATTTTGATTTTTCGTTTCATCTTCTTCATACCTCCTCTGCCTTTTTCTTCTTTCTTCCCGTCGAGTATCGACACTCGATGCGATCGTCGCGTATCAATCACGAGATACCTCGTTTTCCGCGGTGCTCCCTCGATTCCGGTTCTGGACCCATTTTACGTCGAGGCAAACCGTTGCTTCTGCTTCTTCACGAAGTCGAGGGCCATCTTGTCGCCGACTCTCGTCTCCAGAATCTGTAGAATCGGGTGGTCTGAGAACAGAGTTTTATCGCAATTTAATTAATACTCTACAGATTATCGAATGCTTTTAATATCACTCACATTTTCATAAAAGGAAGAATAGAAAATCTCATTGATATGATTAAAGTAACATATAATTAAGACTGCAACATTGGATTCTGAAGCTTTTTTAATTAGCCTTCAATGAAAAGGGATAAGATGAAAGAGAGAAACGACGCTATGAAATATTTAATAACATCTATTAAGTAAAATATCCGGTGAGAGTCCTACGAAACCCTCTTGCTATCTCAGTTACTAAAAAATCATATTAGCATTTAACAAAGTTCCCGATAATTCAGTTATCGCATCTATTGATCTTAGAAAAACTTCCTCAAACAAGTATCGAATATTGCAGTAAAGTTATTTTGCGTGACGTTCTTTTTCCCTCGGCTCTTTCAGTTATCGAGGGAAATGGATGAGAATGGATGGGACGAACAGGAGGAGCTTTTACGAGAAGGTGGGTTCGTTGAACTCACTTCGATTCTTCTGATGCATCAGGGGTAATTCGGTGTGCTTGAGGCCGTGGAAATTGTCTATGCTGGCATTCGTGTCGGTCACACCAGGTATCGTATTAAGCCCCAAGAATGCTTCGCCCGCGAAGTCATTTGCGGTGAGCACGTCGTGGTCCATTACGGTGAACAGCACCATGGCATCTGGACTTCGACATTGCTCGACGCTTACGGAACTATAAAATAGTATCCAGAGTTAGTGAAATATGTACTAAATGTTTAAGTTGTCATCGTAATTAGAAAAGTTACTTACAATTCGAAACATTCATCAAACATAGGATTTAGAGTTTTCTTCTTCACATTGGTGTGCTGCTCAGCACAGTGTTCGAAGACTCTTCGTGGCAGCAGTTCGATTATCACGAAGGGGTCACTGTAACCATTCGGATCTAGAGGTATCACGTCTCTGGCGTTTATAACTTCCACGCACAGAGAATCGTGATTTAGATACGCTCTCACTGTTAGAACGCCGTACTCGGAAGATACGGTGTTTAGTTGGTCCTAAAAGTAATCATAAATTATTATATATTTACTTTTAAAGTGTATTTTCTTTTTCATTAAAAATACGACACTTTTATTGAGAAAAGTAATCTCAATCAATTTAAGAAAATAAAGCTTCGTGATAGTAAATAAATAGACTGCATAGCAATTTTAAATAATATATTATAAAGATTGGATTCTATAGCAACCTGAAGTCGTTGTCGATAAAATCGATCGATCAAAAACGTCGTATCCATTTTGTGATACTGTAGACGCT